CACACCCCATGTGGTTCATAATCAAGGACCCGAAGTTCATAACGGCGACATAGGACAACCGGGAAGGCTGGAAGAGAACCCCCAGTCTTCAGAATAGAGACGCCCATCCCGGAACCCAAACCCGAACGACGTATCCAGGGTCTACAGGAGGAAGTATCACTGGGGGCAGTATAATGACAGCCTCTTCGTTGACGAGATCGTGGATGCACCATTTCCAGAGAACCTCAACTTGTCTGAAATCCCAAAATACGATGGAGCGCAAGACCCCCAAGTGCATTTGGATTCCTTTGATACGGTGATGTACATTAAGGGAATTGAAGATCCGTTGATAACCCGTTTATTTGCGACCACGTTGATGGGAACAGCTGAATCATGGTTCTCATCTCTACCAGCGGGATCCATCAAATCGTTTGAAGAGTTCGGAGGTAGGTTTTTGCTGAATTTTGCTACAAGTAAAAAACAGCCCAAGTTTGAATTCGCGCTGGGAAAAATAAAACAGCAACCTGGTGAAACGCTGCTGAAGTATTTTGACCGTTTCAAAATGTCCGCCTTACAAGTTCCCGGGTTGTCTGAGAATGTTCATTTACATTTGGTGATTGCGGCCTCCACGGATCCTCCAAGTTAGCTATATCCGTATACAGAAACCCAGTCCGAACTCTAGTTGAGTTCACTGCACGGTCCAAAAAATATTTGGAGCTCGAGTAGATGGAGATTGAAAATGCAGACCCAAGGCAACACCACGGTCAGATGGAGAAACTCGAAAATCGAAGGCAAAGTGATTTCCAGGTTAAAAGGCCAGAAGAGAAAGTTTCAACTAAAGTTAAATTTGATAGATATACACCTATGAATTCGTCCAGATCCCAAATCTGGAGAGAGGTAGCATCCACCGAAATGAAGAGGGTGGATAGGCCACGACCATTACAAAATCCAGCCAGCCTGGACCAATCTCGATATTGCGCGTTCCATGATGGCTCTGGCCATACAACCGATGAATGCTAGGATCTAAGGGACGCAATTGAAAGATATATCAGGGAAGGAAAGTTGTGTAAATACTTGATAAGAACTCAAGGGTGGAAGAATAATAAGAAGAGGATAGGAGGACAACTTATAAGCTCACCCCGAGAAAAGAAGTTCAGGGATGAAGGCCGAGGTAAGAAGCCGGCCAAAGAAGAGGATGATAAATTCATAGAACATGAGTTTGAGTGCAATGTTATTAGCGGGGGTTTTGGTGGAGGAGGTGATACAATGAATGCCAGGAGAAATTATTTAAGAGAGGTGCTTTCCATTCGAGAACAACTGCTATTTTTTACAAAGAAAGAATTGGAAGATGTCATGCCGGGACACATTGACAGGTTAGTTATCACCGGCACAATAGTCAACTGTAAAGTCAAGAAGATGTTCGTAGATAACGGCAGCTGTACAGACATAATTCTGTGGCAGGCATTCCAGAATATGAACCTGGATGTGGAAGATTTGAAACCCTGCAACACGGCTTTGATTGCGTTCAATGGACGCGATACTATCCCTAAGGGATACATTGACCTGAGGCTTACCTTGGGAACAAAGGAGGCTTACAAGGTGGAAAGGATAAGATTCATAGTGGCTGACTTCCCGTCGGAGTATAGCGTAATTCTGGGAAGGCCAACTATCAACGATTGGGATATGCTGGTCTCCACCAAGCATCAGAAGCTCAAGATGATTGGTAAGCAGAACACAGTAATCACCATTCCTGGGGATCAAAAAGAATCTCGGGATTGCTATTTTAAGTCGGTCAGAGCAATAGGCAGTAACCTAAAGACACCAGCCGGGGTGAACCCCAGTAATAAGCAGGATAACTCCATGAGGGCGGAGGACCAGTCAACAACCAAGGAGATAATTATCTCCTTGATGAGGAGGCTAACGATAGCCCATTCACTGAAAGGCTCATGAACTTGGCAATACCGTTGAGATTCAAGAGTGCCAAGATACCACCGTACGACGGAAGTCAAGACCCGGAGGCCCATTTAGAGACTTTCAAGACCGAAATGTTGTTCAATGGGATAACTGAACCTATCAAGGCCAGAATCTTCGCGACGACGTTAACAGGCCAGGCAATGGCCTGGATAACCAGGCTTCACAGGAACTCGATTGACTCGTTCGAGGACCTAGACCGAACTTTCCGGTTAAATTTCGCAACAAGCAAGGAGCATCCAATGTCGGCCTACGCCTTGTGAAGAAGCACACTTTCATCCTTCGTGCACCCCTGAAGAGCTGCAAACTATCATGACACCATGGCCATTCTTCAAATGGGGGATGGACCTTTTGGGACCCTTCACCGCGGCTGAATGACAGCTCAAGTGGTTGATAGTGGCAGTCGACTACTTCACCAAATGGATCGAGGCCGAACCCCTCACCACCATTACCTCGGCTAGGATTCAAAGATTCTTTGAAAGAAACTTGATTAGCCGATTCAGAATTCCTGCCGAGATCATCACAGAAAATGGAACACAGTTCGCTGATAAAAAGTTCCATGAGTTAATGACCGACTTCAAGATCACACATCGATTTGCATCAGTGGAACATCCTCAGACCAACGGACAAGCCGAGTCTGCTAACATGGTGATTATCAATGGGCTCAAGAAAAGGCTGTTTGATGCCAAAGGAAATTGTGTGCAACAACTACTCCTCGTCTTGTGGGGTTACAGGACAAGCACCCAATCCGCCACTGAAGAAACCTAGTAACTGCTAGATTCAATAAGAAGGTCATACCTCGGTCATTTCAGAGCGGCGACTTGGTGCTAAGAAGAGTTGACATCAGCAACAAGAACGCCAGAGATGGAAAGCTCGCCGCGAACAGGGAAGGCCCCTGCAAAGTCAAGGAAAATTTGGGAAAAGGAGCCTACACCTTGGAAACTATCTCCAACAAACCAGTAAAGAGAACTTGGAACGCGGACAAGCTAAAGCTCTACTATAGTTAGACTTGAAGTCCATGAGTTCGCAGCCGAAATTCGTAACATGACCCAGAACTTCAACTCGGCCAGATACAACGAAGTCGAAACTCGGAACAAACAATGCTTGAAGGCATAGGTCGGACTCGTGGCGAATCCGACATGTTAAAAACCAATTTCAACATACAATACCAAGGAAGGTCAAAAAGCATCACGCGAACGACCTCGGCAAAAGTGATTCCTAGTAATGTCGTGGACCCAAACTTTCAAAGGCTCAATACCGAAATGAGTGAACTCGGGTGAATCAAATCCGAGATGATATAGCAAACACCTCGGCATTCTTATCCGCGGAATACCGAGATGGGGGGCAACTGTTATGGATATGAATATCATATCCCAACTACTCACCTAAGAATCTACTAAGAGATAGATTCATGAATATCTCAACAACATTAAACAGTGAAAGGGCACAAGATAAGCGTCACATCCCAACAGAAAGGGAGCTGAACCCTAATGCAATCTGGGGAGCTCAAAAGGCCCAAGCCTAGGAAGGTAATCCTTATAAATAAGAGCCTAAGGACCCCAGGTACACACTTTGAACCTATTTACGAATACTGCCCACACTGTGCACACACCCACCCCTTGGCTATAAGCCTATTGCTTGTGCACAGTGATTGGGACCTCGGCTATAAGCCTAGTATACATCTGATTATACATTATCTCTGAGCGCATACCTCATGGTATAATAATACTATATATCCAGGACCTAACAAGGCTTTTGAGTGAGATTGATGCTTGTGTTTCCAGAGGGTTTATGATATTACATTATCGATTATAGGTCTTATGTTTTGTTTTCCTTAGTTACTACACTGTTTCTTTTATGGTAGATTCATTACTTGAAGCTTTATATATATATGTTATGGACCAGGGAAAGGCCCACGACAGCAAGAAGCCCAACCTACACAAGCCCAAAGGTAAGCTCTATAAATAAGAGCTAAAGACCACAGGTATGTTGATCTCTCTCTAACCCTATTTTCTTTCAAGCACGACATCGCACACACACCCCCCTTCAGGCTAAGGCCATCATACTGTGTGTAGTGATTCGCTGTCCCCAAGATACCTACTCCATAGGTATCTAGAGAGAAAGCTATAGATCCAACATCAAACAACCGACTTATAGTCGGACACCTCTGCCCACGGCAAAACAGTGGCGTCATCTGAGGGAAAACTTTTCCAATACTACGTGATCGAAATCCACGATGGTGAGAACGACAAGAAGTGGATTTCGACAACTATCAAGATCGAATTCCAGGATCCAGCCTATTTCTCCAATCGGCGATAATCCATCGGATCATCGGCAGATTGATACCGATGCAGTGCACGTGAGTGATGTGCACTCTGATTCGGCATCAACTCCAGCCGTCAATCCAGATGCCCCATACGTGCAAGGGTTACAACCGATGGAGGAACAAACGGCAGATGCTGGGCAGGCACCAAACGATGCAGTTGGTGATTCTCGGGTAACAGATATGGTTGTTGCCGCAGTACTTCGGAGAATGGAGGAGATGGAGAGAAGACATGGGCTTGAAAAGGAGGCAGATGCCAGACAGATGCGAGAGCTGGAGGCTCGAGTAGGTCGAACCGCCAACCCGAACCCGGAACGAGCCATAACACGGGTCATGAATGATCTGCGGATCACTAGCACCCAGGCGAACCCTGATGGGACCCGGGGTCGGGGGAGAGGAATTGGAAATATCGAAAGCCGGCCTCAGAGAAGCACACCCCATGTGGTTCATAATCAAGGACCCGAAGTTCATAACGGCGGCATAGGACAACCGGGAAGGCTGGAAGAGAACCCCCAGTCTTCAGAATGGAGACGCCCATCCCGGAACCCAAACCCGAACGACGTATCCAGGGTCTACAGGAGGAAGTATCACAGGGGGCAGTACAATGACAGCCCCTTCGTTGACGAGATCGTGGATGCATTTTCCAGAGAACCTCAACTTGTCTGAAATCCCAAAATACGATGGAGCGCAAGACCCCCAAGTGCATTTGGATGCCTTTGATACGGTGATGTACATTAAGGGAATTGAAGAGCCGTTGATAACCCGTTTATTTGCGACCACGTTGATGGGAGCAGCTGAATCATGGTTCTCATCTCTACCAGCGGGATCCATCAAATCGTTTGAAGAGTTCGGAGGTAGATTCTTGCTGAATTTTGCTACAAGTAAAAAACAGCCCAAGTTTGAATTCGCGCTGGGAAAAATAAAACAGCAACCTAGTGAAACGCTGCTGAAGTATTTTGACCGTTTCAAAATGGCCGCCTTACAAGTTCCCGGGTTGTCTGAGAATGTTCATTTACATTTGGTGATTGCCGGCCTCCACGGATCCTCCAGGTTAGCTAGATCCGTATACAAAAACCCAGTCCGAACTCTAGTTGAGTTCACTGCACGGTCCAAAAAATATTTGGAGCTCGAGCAGATGGAGATTGAAAATGCAGACCCAAGGCAACACCACGGCCAGATGGAGAAACTCGGAAATCGAAGGCAAAGTGATTTCCGGGGTAAAAGGCCAGAAGAGAAAGTTTCAACTAAAGTTAAATTTGATAGATATACACCTATGAATTCGTCCAGATCCCAAATCTGGAGAGAGGTAGCATCCACCGAAATGAAGAGGGTGGATAGGCCACGACCATTACAAAATCCAGCCAGCCTGGACCAATCTCGATATTGCGCGTTCCATGATGGCCCTGGCCATACAACCGATGAATGCTGGGATCTAAGGGACGCAATTGAAAGATATATCAGGGAAGGAAAGTTGCGTCAATACTTGATAAGAACTCAAGGGTGGAAGAATAATAAGAAGAGGAGAGGAGGACAACTTATAAGCCCGCCCCGAGAAAAGAAGTTCAGGGATGAAGGCCGAGGTAAGAAGCCGGCCAAAGAAGAGGATGATGAATTCATAGAACCTGAGTTTGAGTGCAATGTTATTAGCGGGGGTTTTGGTGGAGGAGGTGATACAATGAATGCCAGGAGAAAGTATTTAAGAGAGGTGCTTTGCTTTCCATTCGAGAACAACCCAAGTTTAAAGGAGCCGAACCAGAAGCACCACTGCTATTTTTTACAAAGAAAGAATTGGAAGATGTCATGCCGGGACACGTTGACGGGTTAGTTATCACCGGCACAATAGTCAACTGTAAAGTCAAGAAGATGTTCGTAGATAACGGCAGCTGTACCGACATAATTCTGTGGCAGGCATTCCAGAATATGAACCTGGATGTGGAAGATTTGAAACCCTGCAACACGGCTTTGATTGTGTTCAATGGCCGCGATACTATCCCTAAGGGATACATTGACCTGAGGCTTACCTTGGGAACAAAGGAGGCTTACAAGTCGGAAAGGATAAGATTCATAGTGGCTGACTTCCCGTCGGAGTATAGCGTAATTCTGGGAAGGCCAACTATCCACGATTGGGATATGCTGGTCTCCACCAAGCATCAGAAGCTCAAGATGATTGGTAAGCAGAACACAGTAATCACCATTCCTGGGGATCAAAAAGAATCTCGGGATTGCTATTTTAAGTCGGTCAGAGCAATAGGCAGTAACCTAAAGACACCAGCCGGGGTGAACCCCAGTAATAAGCAGGATAACTCCAAGAGGGCGGAGGACCAGTCAACAACCAAGGAGATAATTATCTCCTTGATGAGGAGGCTAACGATAGCCCATTCACTGAAAGGCTCATGAACTTGGCAATACCGCCGAGATTCAAGAGTGCCAAGATACCACCGTACGACGGAAGTCAAGACCCGGAGGCCCATTTAGAGGCTTTCAAGACCGAAATGTTGTTCAATGGGATAACTGGACCTATCAAGGCCAGAATCTTCGCGACGACGTTAACAGGCCAGGCAATGGCCTGGATAACCAGGCTTCCCAGGAACTCGATTGACTCGTTCGAGGACCTAGACCGAACTTTCCGGTTGAATTTCGCAACAAGCAAGGCGCATCCAATGCCGGCCTACGCCTTGGGAAGAATCCGAAAAAAGGAGAATGAATCATTGAGGAAATACCTCAATAGGTTCAAAGATGCCACCCTAAAGGTTCAGAATTTAACTGAGCCAGTACACTTGCATCTGATCATCTCGGGATTAGATGGCGATTCTCCACTGGCGAAGTCAATTTACAAGAACCCGGTCAATGACCTGGAGGAGTTCCGACGAAGGTCGGACAAATACATTGATGTGGAGGACATGCAGAAGGCTTATGGGGAATCCAGAGGTCGAAGCCCGAATCGCAGGAGTCCAAGCAAGAAAAACAAAGACCGGGATCAACGGGGGCGAAGAAGGGAGCGAAGAAGGGAAAAGAATGCCACCCTAAAGGTTTGGAATTTAACTGAGCCAGTACACTTGCATCTGATCATCTCGGGATTAGATGGCGATTCTCCACTGGCGAAGTCACTTTACAAGAACCCGGTCAATGACCTGGAGGAATTCCGACGAAGGTCAGACAAATACATTGCGGGAGAATAGGTCGGATGACCGATCCCCAAGGAGCAAATATGATGATTACACGCCTTTGAACATGTCCAGGTCTAGGATATGGAAAGAGGTGGCCCAGACTGAAATGCGCAATGTCGAGAGACCTCGACCCCTGAAAGCCAAGAGTGGATTGGATAGAAACAAATACTGCGCTTTCCATGACCAGAACGGTCACATCACGGATGACTGCTGGGACCTCCGAGATGCCATCGAAAAACACATCAGAGAGGGGAAATTGAAACAATACATCATCAGAACTCAGGGCAAGAAGAATAATAAGCGAAGGCGGAGAAGCCGGAGCCTAAGTCGGAGCCCGAAGAGAGAGGATAGAAAGGATCAGAGACAAGACCGCCCTACAAAGGGCAAAGAGGTCGAAGATAAAGATGAGGTTTTTCAGGAAGCCGAATTTGAGTGCAACGTGATAAGCGGAGCTCTGGGTGGAGGAGGAGACACGGCCAACGCAAGAAGAAAGTACCTGAAGGAGGTCATGTCAGTAAGAGACAGGCCAACCTTCAAAGGGAAAGCCAAAAATTCTACCCCCCCCAAGATTGTTCTTCACTCAGGAGGAACTAGAAATGGTTGTACCCGGACACACTGACGGCTTGGTGATCACTGGAGTGCTAGTCAATTGCCGGGTTAAGAGAATCTTTATTGATCACGGGAGCTCGGCAGACATACTTCTTTGGGACGCTTTTCAAAGGATGAACCTGGACGAGAAGGACTTGAAACCATGCATCACCGAGCTGGTCGGGTTCAATGGAGCGTCATCCCTCCCAAAGGGCTACATTGATTTGAAGCTGACCTTAGGGACGAAGGACTCATTCCGTGCTGGAAGGGTTCGTTTCGTCGTAGTAGACACTGAGACGTCCTACAATGTGATCATTGGCCGACCTACAATACACGACTAGAACATGTTGATCTCCACCAAGCATCAAGCCCTGAAGACGCTGGGGGAAAAGAACGAAGTTATCACCATAAGAGGGGATCAGAAAGAATCCAGGGAGTGCTACTATGAGACCCTACGAGTAAATCAAGGAGGCCCGTCTTCTCCCCCTCGGCAGAAAAATAGAGGAGAACCGGGAATGCTAGAAGAGAACGCCCAGTCTTCAGAATGGAGACGCCCATCCCGGACCCAAACCCGAACGACGTATCCGGGGTCTACAGGAGGAAGTATCACAGAGGGCAGTACAATGACAGCCCCTTCGTTGACGAGATCGTGGATGCACCATTTCCAGAGAACATCAACTTGTCTGAAATCCAAAAATACGATGGAGCACAAGACCCCCAAGTGCATTTGGATTCGGCGATGTACATTAAGGGAATTGAAGAGCCATTGATAACACGTTTATTTGCGACCACGTTGACGGGAGCAGCTGAATCATGGTTCTCATATCTACAAGCGAAAAAACAGCCCAAGTCCAAATTCGCGCTGGGAAAAATAAAATAGAAACCTAGTGAATCGCTGTTGAAGAATTTAGCCTGTTTCAAAATGGCCGCCTTTCAAGTTCTCGGGTTGTCTGAGCATGTTCATTTACATTTGGTGATTGCCGGCCTCCACGGATCCTCCAGGTTAGCTAGATCCGTATACAAAAACCCTGTCCGAACTCTAGTTGAGTTCACTGCACGATCCAAAAAATATTTGGAGCTCGAGCAGATGGAGATTGAAAATGCAGACCCAAGGCAACACCACGGCCAGATAGAGAAACTCGGAAATTGAAGGTAAAGTGATTTCCGGGGTAAAAGGGCAGAAGAGAAAGTTTCAACTAAAGTTAAATTTGATAGATATACACCTCTGAATTCGTCCAGATCCCAAATCTGGAGAGAGGTAGCATCCACCGAAATGAAGAGGGTGGATAGGCCACGATGGCGCGTTCCATGATGGCCCTGCCCATTCAACCGATGAATGCTAGGATCTAAGGGACGCAATTGAAAGATATATCAGTGAAGGAAAGTTGTGTCAATACTTGATAAGAACTCAAGGGTGGAAGAATAATAAGAAGAGGAGAGGAGGACAGCTTATAAGCCCGCCTCGAGAAAAGAAGTTCAGGGATGAAGGCAGAGGTAAGAAGCCGGCCAGAGAAGAGGATGATGAATTCATAGAACCTGAGTTTGAGTGCAATGTTATTAGCGGGGGTTTTGGTGGAGGAGGTGATACAATGAATGCCAGGAGAAAGTATTTAAGAGAGGTGCTTTCCATTCGAGAACAACCCAAGTTCAAAGGAGCCGAACCAGAAGCACCACTGCTATTTTTTACAAAGAAAGAATTGGAAGATGTCATGTCGGGACACGTTGACAGGTTAGTTATCACCGGCACAATAGTCAACTGTAAAGTCAAGAAGATGTTCGTAGATAACGGCAACTGTGCCGACATAATTCTGTGGCAGGCATTCCAGAATATGAACCTGGATGTGGAAGATTTGAAACCCTGCAACACGGCTTTGATTGCGTTCAATGGCTGCGATACTATCCCTAAGGGATACATTGACCTGAGGCTTACCTTGGGAACAAAGGGGGCTTAAAAGTCAGAAATGATAAGATTCATAGTGGCTGACTTCCCGTCGGAGTATAACGTAATTCTGGGAAGGCCAACTGTCCACGATTGGGATATGCTGGTCTCCACCAAGCATCAGAAGCTCAAGATGATTGGTAAGCAGAACACGAAAATCACCGTTCCTGGGGATCAAAAAGAATCTCGGGATTGCTATTTTAAGTCGGTCAGAGCAATAGGCAGTAACCTAAAGACACCAGCTGGGGTGAACCCCAGTAATAAGCAGGATAACTCCAAGAAGAAGGGAACAACATCAGTAAACATGGTGGAGTTGGACATGAGGGATGAAACTCAGATCCCAAGGCCGGAACCTGATGGAAAGCTGGAAGAAGTAGTCATTGGAGAAAAAACTCAAACAGCCAAAATCGAAAGGGGTTGGCAGAAGAGAACAAAGTTTGATTACTGACTGCTTAAGGTGGAACACATATGTCTATGCTTGGAAATCCTCAGAGATCCTTGGCGTGGATCCTGACTTTTGTTGTCATAAGCTCACGGTGTACCCATGATCAAAACCGGTAGCTCAAAAGAAAAGGAAGCTTAATGCAGATCGTCGGCAGGTGTTAGAAGATCATGTAAAGGAGTTGCTGGAAGCGGGGTTTATCAGAGAAATACAATACACAACCTGTCTGTCTAACGTGGTGATGGTAAAAAAGCCAAATGGGAAGTGGAGGGTGTGCACGGACTATACAGATCTGAACAAAGTATGTCCCAAGGATGCGTACCCCATGCCTAATATAGATCAGTTCGTTGACAACTCATCTAGGTTCCAGATGTTGTCCTTCATGGATGCGTATTCAGGATATACTCAAATCCCACTACACCCCGAAGACCAAGAAAAAACCGCTTTTATCGCAGAGAAGGAAAATTATTGTTATAATGTGATGCCTTTTGGACAGAAAAACTCAGGTTCCACCTACCAAAGAATGATGAATCAAGTATTCACAGATCAGCTTGGTAAAGATGTGGAGGTATACATAGATGACATGATTGTCAAATCAATTAACTCAGCAGTTCATATTGAGGATATCGAGCAAACCTTCCAAAAACTAAGGCAACGCAATATTCGTTTAAACCCGGCTAAATGTGCTTTTGGAGTCCTAGCAGGAAAGTTTCTAGGGTTTATGTTAACTCATAGGGGTATAGAAGTTAACCCATACAAATGCAGAGTCGTACTGGAGATGAAGCCAACAACGAGCAAAAAGGAGATCCAACAGTTGACAGGAAGACTAGCTTCGCTCACCAAATTTTTACCTCGATCTGCAGAAATGACTTTACCATTTTTCAAGCTTCTGCGAAAGGAGGTGCAGTATGGGTGGACCTCGGAGTGTGAGGTCGTTTTCCAAGAAATAAAAAAACAACTAGCATCACCGCCGGTCCTGTCTAGTCCAAGGAATGGGGAGTCGCTGATAATTTACCTTCCCGTAAGAGATGTTGCTGTCAGCTCGGTCCTAGTTCAAGAAAGTGAGGAGGGACAACAACCAATTTACTTTGTGAGTCGGCTCCTCCAGGGAGCAGAGCCACGTTATCAGAAGCTAGAAAAGGTGGCTTTCGCCTTGATGATCTCGGCTAGAAGGCTCAGAGCATATTTTCAAGGGCACCATATTGTGGTCAGATCAGACTTACCAATCTGGAAAATCCTACACAAGCCTCTCTTAGTAGGA